GTGACTAGGAAAGAACTAAGTTCCCTTTGTCATGCTCATTGTAGACTGTAAGCTTGTAGTGATTCAGAATCAGCAGAAACAGCTCATCTTTGCAGCAATTTCTACATCCTGTTAATTAAGGAGGGATATCCTAAGTGTGGGCAGCACTGTTTCACAGCCTGGCATCTCACACTGAATAAAAGACGAGAAAAAGAGCTGGACAGAGGCAGTCATCTCTTCTTCCTTTCTGACTGAGGATGCCGCGTGACCAGCTACATCATGCTCTTGCCTCCTCGCCGCCCCTGCTATGTCAGACCGTTGCTTTTGTCAAATACTTCCTCAAAACAGAAAGGAATCAACAAACAGCCAAGCCTGTGTACTTTCTAACAGCTGCGCTCTTTCTCTCAAGTTGAGAAGGTCAGGTGAACTTTTTCTCAGATCATTCTCAACTCCATAATCCAATCAAAATTAAAGCATCACACACACACACACAAATACCAACTGTGTCAAGTTCAGTCCCACTCTATCAGAGACAATCAAGTCAGATGACAGGATCCCAGTGGCTCCGTCCACAGTGGCTCTTGGGTCCCTGGGGCAGACCTTCTCACCCGAAGAAATGCAGGCTGTTCCACTGGCAGCACTTCCACATCTGCAGCTGTGCCTACCCATCTGTCTTTCTCTGAACTATCTCTACAGGGCTGACATGTGCATTTTACGCATTTACTGAATGTATCCACTTGTCTTTAAAAGGCTTTCGCTCCTCAATTACAACGCCATTTCCCGCCCTATTCAAGAAGTGTTAACACATCTTTAATCATCTGCTTGCCTCCCTCTTCAATTCTCTCACACCAGAAGACCTTGCACACAAGAGGAGCAGACACTTGTGTACTGGAGACACATAGCAGGCACACCGCACCCAGACACTGAACCTGCCAGGCAGGCGTGCCTCTATCAAGGCAGGCTCTGGTTCTTTCTTCTAGACTGCGGGCAAAGGAAAGGAACCCAGTACATTCAGGAGTGCCTGGTTTGCAGTCTGAGGCTTCTCATATGTAGACAGGATGGTGAAAATTACAGACATAACCAACCCACTCAGCACAGTCTGCCCTGTCCCAGAAACTCCCACCCCTGCACACCAAAGGCACCTCAGGGGTGAGTGAGGTATTCCCCAGCTACCGTTATTATTTGCCTTTTCTTAGCTGTAGTAAGATTATCACTGCCTCCCCTCTCTTTGGAAATATGCTTTCTTGAATGTGATTTACACCGCAGAAGGCCCATCCTTTGAAATGTTTGCTTCAGTAGATTTTGGCATAGTCACAGGCTTGAACGCCATCACTATGTACTTTCTGAACAGTTTCTTTACTGATCACATGGCTCCCAGCAGTTAGTCACTCCCCATTACTCCCTCCGCAGCCGCTGGCAATCACTAGGTCTCTGTGGACGTGCTAACTGTAGATATCTCACATAAACAGGATGGCACAGTCTGCGGCTAGCGCCTAGCTGCTTTTCAAGTAGCATACTATTTCCAAGATTTAGCTGGGTTTTTTTTTTAACAGAATGCCACTTCATTCTCATGGCTGAGTGTGAATCTATTGTGGACACCTCGCCATTCATGAGGTGACAGATGTGGGGGTTGTTCCCGCCCCGAAGTCACTGTGATCAGCGTGTTTGTAAAGTCTCTTTCTGCTTGCACACCTAAGGATGCTGCTGCTGCTGGGTCATATGTGTCATAAACAGGTTAACCCTATTTAGCCATTTGAGACTACTGTCCAGAGGGGATGAATTCTCAAACACTACTATATATACTGTGTGTGTGTGTGTGTGTGTGTGTGTGTGTGTGTGTGTGTGTGTGTGTGTGTATAGGATCACCTGAAATTAAGGGTGGAAAAAAAAAGATGAAATCACCTACGACACTTCATAACTCTACTTCTAAGTGGTTTCTAGACTCCAGGTAAGACACCCATGTGTGCTTCAGGATTGGACATTGGGGAGGAAACGGAACTGAGCAGTCCAGTCCGATTCTAAACGTTCCTGATGAGCATCCTGCTGAAGTCAGACTTCTCTCTCTTTTTAATGTTATGATGCTTTCTCTGCTAGCTAGACTTTATGCCAACTTGATATACAAACTACAGTTATCTGAAAGGAGGGAACCTCAATTGTGAAAATGCTTCCATAAGATCTGGCTGGAAAGCATTTTCTTGATTAGTGATTATGGGGGGTGGGGGGAGGGTGCAGTCCATGGTAGGTGGGTCCACCCCTAGGCTAGTGGTCCTGGGTTGTATAAGAAAGCAGGCAGAGCAAGCCATAATGAGCAAGCCAGTAAGCAGCACCCCTCTATGGCCTCTGCATCGGCTCCTGCCTCCTGCCTCCTGGTTCCTGCCCTGCTGAGTTCCTGTTCTGTCTGAGCTCCTGTCCTGACGTCCTTTGATGATGAATATGGAAGTGTGAACCAAATGAGTCCTTTTCTCCCCAACTCGCTTTGGTCATGGCTTTGTTACAGCAATAGTAATCTAAACTAAGACACACTTTCTTCCGACAACTTCATGACAACTATGATTTTTGCTCCTTAGATGTCTTGGTGATGACAAGCTTCCCCACATGTTTTTCACTGGGTCCCACTGTCCTTGTTCCTTTCAATTGTGAAACTGTGCAGCCCTCGAAGACTCACATGCATTCTACTGCCTTCTAAATTCAACTTTTGTATTAACTGTCTGTTTTTCTCAGACACTTCACGGTGATGTTTTATTAAAGAAACAACGTATTGCTGAACGTGAGTAAGCTGCCAAGTGCATTCTGTGCTCTAAAGCCAGCTGAAACGGAGCTCCGAGCTCAGGGACAGAGGTCTTGCCCTTGCTCATTTCAACTCCTGGCCCTGAAAAGTCATCTACCAAACACAAGTGGCCACAAGCCTCACAGACTGCTTCCTCCTCTTCCTTTTCAATCCTAAATCACTGTTAATCCATTCTTCCTGTAGTCTTCCAGATGGTCTAGTGCTTTCCTTCAGAACTGTCCACTGAGAAGGACTGACAATGTGCTTCAATCATGAGGCTCAGCCCTTCTCTTACCCTTCCTGCCTTCATTTGAATAGGTTTTCAGAATCACAAATATCCTAAGGCAGAAAATTCCTCTTTTTTTTCCCTCCTAGGATTCCCAGTAATTGCCCTGTGTTTAATACGACAGCAACACCACTAGCAAGAAAAGGCACACTTTTAAGCGCAGCTTCTCCCCCATTACAGTGTCCAATTTTAACTATTCCTTAATGGCCTTTAGCATAATGGGAGGTGTTATTTTTGCTGTCATAATGGTGAGAACCATGCTGTGTTCAATAGAATGAAACACTTTCTCAGAATAAATGAACATGGGACAGAATAGAACTCTGACAGTCCTTATTCCTATTAATCGCTTGGTAACATGAATATCACCCATCACTCCCCCTTCCCATCAAATACACACACGTGTGCGCATGCGCACGTGCGCGCGCGCGCACACACACACACACGCACACACACACACACACACGTCAGAGGCTGGCCTGCACCCTTTTTTTCTTTTTTCCTCTAGTGATTCTTATGCACAAAGACCTGTGTAAAACAAGTAATTTATTTACAACAGTTGGAAAACTGGCCAACAATCTGGCAACTAAAAAAAAAAAAGTCAAATTGGATCACCTGAAATTAAGGGTGGAAAAAAAAATTATAGTGTTTGTAGTGTGTCTGGCATGGTGAAGAAATGGCTGTTTTTCATATCAAAGGAAGATAAATCTTTGTTGATTCTTGCCTGAGCTTCTACAATTTTCCCAAGTAGGTGCCATTTTTTTTCTTTCTACAAAATAAAACCCACCCCCACAAACATTAATAATGGAAAATTACTGATTTCTAGGTAGTTTTAAGGTATACTTAGAGGTGCCAAGAAAAAACTTAAAAGGAGGGGGCATGCGGGGTAAGAGCTCCTAAATATTAACAGCCCCTAAATATTAAATATTAATATTATCATCTCTGAGTACAACTGTAGGTATTGTTTTTTCTGTCCTTCAGAAGTTTTCTCCTAATTTTCCCAATGTATATACGATGTCCTTCTAGTTGGAAAACAACCAACAAATGATGAAGGAAGAAAACTGCTTAATTAGTGAGAAATGGTGAGGCATACTGATTGGCTGAGGCTTGGACCAAAACTAAAAATATACAGACACCCACTGGACTGCAGGTACCCCAAACATCACATGTACTCTAAACCTTGACTCTAAATGTCTACCTCTCATCCAGGCATAGGTGTAAAGTTTTCCCCTTTAAAACTTTTATCTTGAGCTGGGTGAGGTAATGGTTCCCTGTAACCCAGCATTCAAGAGATGGAAGCAAGAGAATCAGAAAGGAAGATCGAGAGTTCAAGGCCATTCTGTCAAATACTGAGTTTAAAGTCAACCCTGGCTACATGGTGTTTGATGCCAACCTGAGATATTTGAGTCCTGGGAAAGATGTGAGGAGAATTCTAAAGCAGAAGGTCAATAGAGCTATTAGGCCTATAACTGAACTAATAGTAGGCAGCCTACTGGCCCTTCTGTATTGCTCTCTGACTCTGGTACTTCCAGCTTCAAGACCTGGGAAGCAACAAGCAGTACCATAAAAATGACAGCACTCTCTCCTGGTTATGTGTGAAGTCATCCTGACACACTGAGAGAAGAGAATTTCAGCTGAAGAAATGCCTCCATCGGATGGCCCATGGCATGTGTTAGGGACAATTTCTGATTACTGACTGATGAAGGGGGGCCCACCTCACTGTGGGAGTGGCATGTGCTAGGCAGGCAGGCCTGGGATACATAAGAAAGGTGGCTGAACTGTGAGACTGGGAGCAAGCCAGTGAGTAGTACACTTTCACGGTACCATGGCAACAGAAAGCAAGCAAGGACATAATCCTAGTGTTAGTGTAACTACACTAACTCACGGAGGATGCTTGGTGAGCCTTGACATGTTTTTTTGCTGGAACAATACAGCGTACTAGTGAGTAGAGATGCCAGTCAAATGTCATACCTGTGAGATGTAACCTGGAGGAACATGAATGGGAGGAATGGACCCATTGGGTGACATCATGGGAACTTCAGCAGGTCCTGAAAGATATAAGAGCAAAATGTTAATAGATAAAGAGACACACAGCATTAAATGTAATTACTGGCATGTTTAATATGTGAAGTCTCTATTCAATAACTGGCATGCCATAACTACCTGAAACCATGGGTGAGGTAATTTCCTGGCTATGCAACTCAAGGAAACAGACAAAACATATATAAAAACAGCAACAACAAGAAGGTTATAACCACCTCTATTAATATTTAACAATTCTCTACAGCCACAAATTCCATGAACCAAAACTATTCTGTTAAAGCCAGTCTAACAGAATGAAACAGAAGCTCCCCCCCGACTGTAAAAAATATGCTAGAACAGTTCAAATCTCTTCCTACAAACTCCAACTCTACTTGTTTTTTAATGTATTATAATTAATATATAGTAAATTTTGAAGTGAACATTCTTCAGGTTCAAAACCTCCTATAGGCTTTGGATTTAAGGTTTTATATGATTTTTTATTTTCAATAATTTATTATAACTTACCATTAATGTGAAAGCTATAACACCTTTAAAATACTCCAAACCAGTTGGGCCCAATTATGCAGACCTGGAATCCCAGCTAGCTGAGCATGGGCTAAGGCTGGAAAGTCACAAGTTCAAGGCTTGCCTGGGCAGCTTTACAAAACCATACTTCAGAATAAAAAGTTGGAGTGTTTTAAAAAGGCTTTGGGATACAGTTCAGTGGTATAACACTTGTCTGATATATATATATATAAGATCCAGCCAGGCACAATGGTGCATGCCTATAATCCTAGCACTCAGGGAGGCAGAGACAGGCAGAGCTTTGTGAATTCAAGGCCAGCCTGATCTACAAAGCGAATCCAGGACAGCCAAGGCTACAAAGGGAAACCCTGTCCTGAAAAACCAAAAAGATCCCAGATTTAATCCCAAATATCATAAATAAAATTAAAACAAAGTCAACCAGCTGTTTGGTCTGTCTCACATTAGACAGGAATAAAAATAGATCATCTTCTAAAACTAGGCATCATTCAGAATATTCATGCTGAATTTCTACTTTTACAAAGTAAAACATTAAACCAATGGAAGTTAATTCAATGAATGTATTTTTGTTGTTGTTTTAGCTGCCCACCCAGCCCTGCTTTGGAGACAGGGTCTTATATAGCCCAGGCTGGTCTGGTATTCCCACCATGCCCAGTTTTATGCAATACTGGCGCTTTGTGTTTGCTATTCAAGCACTCTACCAATGAATACTAATCATATGATTAAGGCAAGCTAATGAATGTCAAAGTTAACGGTTACCTAAAATGTCGTTTGAGTTAATATTTCATCACAAACTAACTGTCCTATACCAAAAACAACACAACATTCTTCCAATTCAATTCAACAATTTCCTTACAAGTGAAGAAAAGCCTGGACCTTACCTTCAGGAGCCAGCTCTCACAGAGCGTTAGTAACCCACCCCCATGTCAGCCCAGAGCCATGGGTTCCACTGTGAGATGCGACTTCCTGGCTCCAAGCACTGTGCTATTTATTTGCTTTCTCTTGGTGGGTGTTGTGTTGCTGGCAGTGAAAACCACCCAGCTGGAACAAAACCCAAGAGAACTTGCCACTTCACTTGGCAAAAGGAGACAAATCCTGTCCCTGAGTCACTGCATTTACAAGTAAGCGTGATACACCTTTCATACCACAGTCTCGTAACTGTCATAGCAGAGGATACAGTAGGGTAGAGAGGATGGGCAAGCGCATGAGCAGGTCTCCGAGTTTACAAGCAGACAGCAAAAGTGCAGAAAGGGTGCAGGACATCAAGGGAAATTCCCAATGGCGGCTCCCTGCAGGTTCATGGACAACTCATCAAGTCAGTGAACCCACTGACCATCCCGACCCTCACAAACCCAGTGGTCTCATGTGTGTCTGTCATCAAAAGCATAAAAGAGCACAACACACATCGCAGCTCAGTGGTGGAGCAGAGGGCTTTGCATTCTCAAGCCTCTGAATTCCGTTTCTACCGGGCCCCCTTACCAAAACAATGAATCATTGCACTACACCAAGTCATTTTTAAGTAGAATTAAACTTACATGCCAACCACTAAAGGTGTTGGTTTCCAAGTCCATGTTCCTCATCAGCTTCGGCATCTTTACCACGGCCACCAAGACATACAAACATTTCTTTTATATCCTTATTTGAATTGATTCACTTAAAAAGAAGTTCGCTGTCTTTGAAATCCAAAAATTCATGCACTTGGCTCCACAGAACAGGTGCTCGGAGCTGGCTCTCCACCTGGTCTCGCACCTCTGTGTGCCCGTGAACAAAGAACTCATTCAGTCTCCCTGAGCCTCACTTCTCGACAGTTGTAGGTGAAAATAAAAATGCCCACTTTCTAAGGTCAGGTTAAAGATTAAATTCATCAGTACCTGCTCCACAAAAGGGAACACAGAACTGGCATGCTATGAGGGGATGAACCTCAGAAACATTCTACTGAAGTCGCCACCGGCACACAATGTATATGATTCTAATCACGTGAAACATTAGGAAGAAAATCAGTCCATACAGAGTCGCTGGGTAGCTGCTTGCTGACAATGTGTGAGGCTCTGGGTTTGATCCCCAGTACGTAAGTTAATAACAGTAACACTAACAATTAATCCACGCAGGCAGAACTGATCGGTGGTTGCCTAGCATAGGGGCAAGGTAAAGGAAGAAGAGGAGGACTGAGAGTCAGAGGACACCTGCCCACGAGGTAGAGCGTTTCTTCTGGAGTCATGAAAATGCTCTAAAACTAGATAGGAGCAGTGATAACATAGCACAGTGACTAGGTAAATGCCAAGAAACTAAAACAACTACTATATACATTCACTTCACTGAAAAAAAAGGAATAATAATAACAATGAAACATTATGCACATAATGAAAGGTAAGACAACAGAACTGAACAGTAAAGACTTAGTGCATATTGAGACAATGCTATTTCCAAACATTGCTATGCGGAGATCAGTAGATGCATTCCATCTGCAGACAGCTAGGGGTTTCAGGATGGGGATCAGATATGCAAACAAGGCCTCAAACACTGATGCAAGCTCACAGCCCCTCAAGGTGTCATTTCAGATGATGAGCATATTCGTTTGGTCCCAGCAAAATGAGGAAGACATACTACTCTCTCCAACCTACAATTATTTCCCAAAGGCTAAACGTTGACTTGAATACAGCCCTGTCCCTACAGAAGCCTGGGTTTGTATCTGGCCTCTGTCTGCTACTGCAGTTACCTGAAGAGAGGAGCACCTGCTAACTTCAAGGGTTGCTCAGAGGAAAGGAAGGTGGGGCACAGACTGTGCCTCTTCAACAGCACCTCCACAAAAATTGCTAGCTCAGTAACTTTAACACTGCATCTAAGTGAGACATGAATGATGTGAATGGCCAGAGAGCCCAAAAGAGCAAGTAACTTGTTTTGCCCTTCACAGTTTTTCCCCAATATTTCTATCTTTTAGCTGCAAAACTGTACCCTGTTTTTTAATTATATAAAATATATAATTACAACTTAGACAATAAGAAACAAAAAAGGAAGAAGCAGTTGTTTTCCTTTCATTTGGTATCTATCCCCATATCCCTAACCATACCACACCCTTTCTCTCCTACAATTCCTTGTTCTTGGACCAGTTTCTAGGAAACCTTGAGAGTTGGGTATGCCTAACTTTCTCAGTATGCTGGGACAGCTAGATGCCAAAGGACCAGCCCTTACTTTCTGAAAGTGGGTCTCCTACATTGGACACTGGCTTGTACCAGAATTTCTAGTCTGGTCCAACCATTGCCCCTAGAAGCAAATGATCATAATAGCGAAGTCTTCCGGAGCATACACCTGAAGTAAATCACTACCAACATCCAAAGCTGAGTCAGACAATAAAGCCCAAAACAGCCCACTCCATCTTCTCAGTTCAGAAGTCAGGGCTCAGGATCTGTCTGCCCCCTCAGTTAAAAATGTAGGTTTTCTTTCAAGGCACTCCTCTAAGAATTGAGGTACAAAATAAGTTGAAAGGAAACTAAAGGCCAGTGTAAGACTTGAAGCTGAAATCTTAACTTCCGTTGGTTTAAATCAACTTGACATCTACATAAATAATCTACTATCAGGTGGCCTTACGACGCCTGTGCTTTAGAACAAGCTAAATAGTTTCTGTGTGAATATATAGTGCTGTAATACATTACCTAATATTTTATTGATTTCAATTCAATAAGCATTTATTATGCAAGATGTGGAAAGAAATGAAAAGGCACCAGGATTTCACAGCAGATCCATAAAAACAACCAAACTACCACACAGGGCTCAGCAATGTTTTTAAAGAGGTGAACAGTGCTGGGGTCACGTGTAGCAATTACTCTTGGTACTTAAGGAAGATTTAAAGCCCTCCCACTGGCAGCGAGTGGTAAAAGAACTGGTGAGCCATTCGCCACACGATAACACTGTGCTAACACAGGCTTGAAAGAACCATACTTGAATTCGGAATTATGGATGCAAAACTTTAAGATGGTCAAAGAGATCAGGTTCCAGGCAGGGGCCTTTAAGTGAATCTTGAACTCTGGTTTTTCGAACTTTTTCCGCTGCTTTGTCGAATTCAATACACCTAGTATGGGTGTCAGACTGCGCAGGAAGCCAAGGCTACAGGGACATTAAAGAGAAGGAGTGCCTCCATTCCTAACCATGGAGAGAAAGGAGTGCAAGGTGAGCAATGCAGGGATGCAAAGAGCCGGGTGAGGAAGGGGAGGCCAGTTTGGGACCCTGCATTTGCCCTGAGGTTTGTAACAGACACTGTCTACGAGAACCATCGCAGGCTTACAGTCCAGACGTCTCAAGAAGCACAGGTTCTTGGTGTGTTTGGACAACAGAAATGGCAAAAGAGTGAGGCAGAAGACCCACGTGAAATGGTATAGGCTGAATCTTGCAAACGTGAAAGACAAGTGAGTTCAGTCTCACTTCCAACCCGAAGCTCAAACTGGATTCTGAGATCTTGGGGCCCTGCCCTTCATGCACTCTGAATCCA